TTTTCAGAACCTTGACCAGTCAAGGAGGCTGCTTGTGCCAAAGTCAAGAACAACAAAATTTCAAGAACATGTGCTATGTTAAAGATGGGACTGAAACACTAGAGGGATAACTCAGTGGTTAAGAACTCTTGGCACTTTTATAAAGGACTGCTGTCCTTTATAGAGTTTCCTTTCTAGCACCCAAGTCAGGTAGCTCACTAATGTCCTTTAACTCCAGATCCAAGGAATGCAGCACATTCTTCCAGCCTCTGCAGATACCTGCAACTCATGTGCACAGATCCACAAAAAGACAGATGCAGGTACACACACACACACACACAAACACACACACACACACACACACACTTCAAAAAATTTTTTTAAAGATGAAATTCAATGTTCAAGTTTTTTTTTTTTTTTATTTAAAACCATGCTTCATTAAATTGCCTTAAATTAGACTACATTTTGAGACAATAGGCCATCAACTGCTCTGAAGGTATGAATGGGTCCCAGGTGACTCTATAGTGACTGCAAAGGACTATCTTTGGCATTTACGTACATCAGGTTTTTTTTTTTTTAATACATAAAATAATCCTTAAGCTATCTATACCTAAACCATAGAACTTTGAGATTCCAAGTAACAGAACCACTGAGTAGCAAGGACAAACATCCCTTGAGGAGTCTAACATTCAGGGAGGGCAGCTGCCTCCATACTGAGGAGTGCAGATGTGGGAAGATGACCTCCATCTGGAGATTCAGCAGGGCCTCTCCCCAACAGAGCCCCATCTACATGCTTGTCTGCTTGCATTTCCCACTAACTTCCCATAGCAAACTTGAACACCAAGGTCAAGCAAAGACAGCAGTATCACTGGCCTCATCAAAGTCCTATGTTGGCAGCCAACACAATCGAATTTCTAGAAAAGGAAGAAAGGCAGCTTGACAGTAGCAGCCTGAGATTGTCCTAGGCTACAGCAACATCTTATTTAGGAGACATTATGCTGGTCCCTGCTGATAGCCTTTATTATTCTATCATAGTTTCTCTTCAGAAATACTAACCAATATCTAAAGAAGAGAGATGCCATCAAGACCCTGCCTAGATAAATTCTGTCAAATTAGACAAGGCCATTACAGCTTTCAATTTGCCATACAGTATTAATATCACTGTCTTTCATCAGAAATCCAGAAAGTGCAAAATTGTTACCTCTTTTTTTAGATGTATCCATATCTCACAGTGCATCACTCCCTGCAAAGGTACTATGATTCAATCCACTATCACCTTTTGCCTCATCTTACATTTATCCACATAGCAGCTAAATAAAAACACATAGCTATTTTGTTCAACATTCTTGCTAGCTGAACTCAGAATTAAACCTGAAGTACCAACCACAGTGCACAAAGCCCTGATACAACCTGGCTCTGAGCTTTTCAGGCATCATCTCAAGCTCCTCATTTCCTTATTCTACTCTCACTCTGGGACTTCTAGCCATTCCCCCAAAGTCATGAAATAC